TGATCATTTTTAAAGAGATAGACATTAATTTCACTTTGCGTACAATCCATCTTATTTTGAAAGTTGCGTTTGAAACATGCTAACCGAACTACACGCGAAAGTTTCTTTTGCCACTTTGAAACACTAATATTATTTATTAATTGGATCGATGAAGGTGATCGAGTTTATTCGGCAAAATTAGTAGTGTTTTAATGATAATTTGGCGAATAAAGTAATAATAAAAATAAATTAAAAATTAATAATATGTAAATGTTATATCGAAAAATGGTTCGAATAAGTCGTCGTAATGTCTCAAAACCGAAAAGCACCGGAAACCCAAATTTTACCGATATTTTTTTTTACAAAACGAAGCGTAACCACATGTAGGTCACTTTGGTAAGTTCATAATTTATGAAACTGTAATCTCAAAGCGTAAATCGACTGAGAGCAGCTTTCCGCCTTACCTCGAAGTCGATGAACTAGCACGTCAGTCAAATTCTAATCAAGTTACATTGCGTGTTATGTAGAAAAACTATTACTGTAGGACCTCTTGTGAGTCCGCACGGGTAGGTACCACCGCCCCGCCTATTTCTGCCGTGAAGCAGTAATGCCTTTCGGTTTGAAGGGTGGGGCAGCCGTTGTGACTATACTGAGACCTTAGAACTATATCTCAAGGTGTGTGGCGCATTTACGTTGTAAATGTCTATGGGCTCCAGTAACCACTTAACACCAGGTGGGCTGTGAGCTCGTCCACACATCTAGGCAATAAAAAAAACCATTAGGAAACGTAAATTTCAAACGCATCTGTTGTATTAAGACGCTCTACAGTGTGCCTTCGTGTTTAGGAACTATTGCAAGGCACTTTGAATAAACGAATCATATAAGAGAAATATTTATTATTATCACGAGCCATCAGGTGAAGCAGAAATAAAAATAGCTTTTCTTACTATTTTTGGATAACGTTTTTTTTGTTGTTGATCTGATTGATCTAAATCTATTAGGATCTATTTATTGAGACTAGAGGTCCCGCAGTAGTCGAAATTCGACTATAATAATTAATTGGAATTGTAAGTTTGTACACTATTATAATTGTATTTTATACTTCTATAATCAAAAATTTCGCCAAGACTACACTATAAAAAATATTAACAAAGACAAACAAATCTATTCTCAATTTGACAACAGACGTTGACGTCTTGTTCTCTGTGTCTCGTTCTTGAGAACAAAAGTTTGACAATAGTATGCATGCGTGTGTGCGTCAAATACATGGTATGTAGTGTGTGTAATGTCTTCTTTATTGATTTAATGTATCTTTTATCCATTATTTAAAAAAAAAATTAGCATTGTGCACTTCTTCTCTATATTCTCTATAAGTATGGAAAATTTCATACTTCTCCGTTCGCGCAATTTTCGTAAAAAGGGATACAAAGTTTTTGCTTCACGTATTAATATATAGATACGACAGATAGTCCAACCAAGAGTACCATTTTAGGTCAGGATTTTATCAAGGCATAAGTTACTCAAATGCAATAAGCGTGGTGGCACACACTCAAATAATTTTTTGCCTACGAACCTAACTTAACAGAATATAACATAAAAGCCATGGTCACAAATAAAACACATTTTCACATAATATAAACAGATAATATATTTTGACACCGTCAACTTGTAATTAATATTAATCAATACAGAACATAAAAATGTCTTTTTTTTATAAAACGTGAAATCTAATTTGAGGTCACAAAGAAATTATAACGAAAAAAGAAGTTCAAATTCAAATAGTTATAAAGAATTTTCATTAAAACGATGAATTATGTATGATAGAAATAAATTGTTTTCATATATTATATATAAAGATGTTATCAAAACTCAATATTTCGCAAAAGTGACAACTTAATATCAAAGTACAGCACAAATATTCATGAATCGTATTACTAATTGCCGTCTTATTACTTTTTTTGTTTTTTAAATCCTCAAATTTATTCCTCGTTTGCATTATTTTCAACAAAACTTAATCTAGCAACCAGTAGTACTGTGACTAGAAGTAAAATAAACGACAATACTAATAAAATATAATTGGAATGAAGCAACTCCTAATACTTACTACACGAGAGCAAATAAAGAGCCCACGTGACTTATTCACAATAAAACTCTTAAAGAAGCTTATAAACCGATCCTAATAAAACGTCATTTAAGCCTATCAAAATTTACAACACAGTCTTAATCATAATGAGTTATCGTAGGCTTATAAACTCGTTATAAGAAGACGTTATTCAGTGTGCTTAGTGCGAGTCTTTTAACGTTCTCGATAGCGTAAAAGTTAACCCAATTTCGTATGCAGTTGGAACAGCGCCCCTAGCGGCAAAGGAAGGCAAACGATCCCATACAAATATGAGCTAACTTTTACGCTGTCGAGAACGTTAAAAAACTCGCACTAAGCACACAGAATGATTCGGCAGATGTGAAGCGCTCATTAACGGTCCCTTAATTTGTAAGAAGCTAGGATCCTACTTATGTATATCAGTATTTTAAAGGTCTGAACAAAAAAAAAACATGACCGACTTCGGTCAGCTGTTTAATTTAATTGGTTTTAAATATTTTAACACTTGACATTCGATTGACAGTTGCAGCTAGTGTGAAACTTTTAGAGTTAAAAACTCAAGACGATCGGCGGGTCGTGAGAGTGAGTCATCTGATTATGAAAAAAATTTGTTTGCCTATATGAAGCCGCTACTCGTCTGTACTGCACCGGTGGTAGTGGATGAGGTATACTGGCCTGAGCCGGACAGAAGCTGCTATAGCATTATGCAATGAGTTAATGTAACATGCGATAAGACCTAATTGAGAAGTCAATCGAGACGGGGGTTTATATAAAGTCGGGATCGGCCCAATTTCAATGACCGAATTACCTTAAAGTCCAAGAAATGGCAACATTGGGTGTTTTAACGGAGTTTTTGTGGTCGAGGCCCTAACAAAGAATTTTATCAAACGCTTAAAACAAAAAAAAAGACATTTGTCTTCCTGAACGTGCTCCGATAAACCATTATGAATAAGACCGGAAATATTACAGTAAAACAACCAACCACGAACTTTGCCGTTCATATTAATTTGCCTCCACAGCCAACGGGATACATTTTAATTTGACGTAAAAACTTGCACCATACTTTACATTTACACATTCTCATACAACCATATTCATTCAATCACGTAGGTGTCAAAACTCAAAGTTCATGACTCGCCGTTTTCAATGTTAGTTATTTAATAAATAATATTAGTATAAACATCCATTGAGATTACACAGTAAACACGACTGCACACTTATTATAGGTCTTTTTAGATTTAATGTTCGTTTTTTTTGTAAACAAATGTACTCTTATTTTTAGTAAATTAATAGGTTGGGACTAACTTAGAATGTAATGATTGTAAATAAATAAGAAGTGGTTTGTCATTTACGAGTCTCGAACTCTTGAAAGAAAGGAACCATTTGAGACAGCGTGATATTTACATGCAATGTACCTGCATTAACTATTTTTAAATAATTAAAAATGGGAAAATTCAACAGCACTTTACGCTTAGATCAATAAGAATGCAAAATGTTCTGAGATAACTCAAATAATTTATTGGATTCGGAGCAAAATAAAAATTTTATTAACAAAATAAGTCACTTTTATCCAAATATTGGTGTTTAACTTTACCATATATTCATTTCAGAGCTCAGAGCTATTACTGATATAACTGAAGATCATATGAAGTAATTTCAAAGATCTTTAAAAGAACTAGCATGTGTGTACATAAGTAGTACTTATAAAGTTGTACTACCAGATTAAATACCAAATAGACAATGTAAAATTTTATTAATGTACACACTTGCCTCGCTTTGGCTGATACCGTTTTATGGTTATGAAGAAGAGTGAAGCTCCTAGAAGACGAGCTTTCGATAAATTTCGTCGAATTTCCTCGTCCTCTATTTCGCAAAGCTAAGACAGAGGTATCCGACTAATGCTACCTACGTAGCCATCCATCGTAATCCATCATAGCCTACGGAGTCGAGGCGTGGACACTTACAGAAGGGTTAGTTTGTAAGTTTACAACTCAGTTTTTAAATAAACTGTTACTTTTTACGGTGCGCAGTTTTGTTTACTGAATGTAAGATAAATAGCACTCAATACACGCTAATAATTGATACACACTGAACTAACTATACGACAATCATTGAACAGACAACGAAGATGACAAAGAAATAAATTGTGTTTCGCCAAAATGTGCAATTAGTTTTGTCCGTGTGGATGATAAAAAATTTTTTTAATTATCATCTGTTAAGCACCAATACTGTTACAACTATGTTCCTTCGGTGTTTCATTTTGATAGACATCTTAAGAGACACGTATTCTTCGGGAAGATATATCTATCTATGAACTTACGATGTCAGAAAACCTAGTTCTTATTTTTATTACAGAATTCGAAAATTCATTTAACATTAAAGACGATATATCGACGCTTGAAAGGCAAACGTGACTAAGCCACAATGCGTGAACTTTACAGTAGACTAATTTAAAGTTGAAATACCTGAAAAAAAGTCTATTTTAACGAATATTTACTGGTGGTAGGACCTGTTGTGAGTCCGCGCGGGTAGGTACCACCGCCCCGCCTATTTCTGCCGTGAAGCAGTAATGCGTTTCGGTTTGAAGGGTGGGGGGCAGCCGTTGTAACTATACTGAGACCTTACGACTTATATCTCAAGATGGGTGGTGCATTTACGTTGTAGATGTCTATGGGCTCCAGTAACCACTTAACACCAGGTGGGCTGTGAGCTCGTCCACCCATCTAAGCAATAAAAAATAAAAAACTAGCTGTAGGATTGAAATGATTTTAAAACACCTAGAAATATATATTTTTTTGCGCATCGAATATGTTTATTGCCTATCATTTATATACAAAGCAGTTATTGTCGCTTAGTCACGTTTGCCTTTCAAGCGTCGATATATCGATATATCGAAGTATCAAGTATGTTTAACAAACATTATTCTTATTCAATAAATAATCGTAGCTTAGCCACCAATACCGCGCAAGCCAATAATTACAGCGCATATGTATACCTATTTATGGAAGCATTAAATTGGTCTGTCGAAATCCTTAAAACAATACATCTTGTATTGATTTCATTCTTTGCTGAAAACTAAACAAATTTGATTTGAATGATATTGATAGCTAAGCTACGTCTGGAGAAACTACTATTGTAAGGCTAAACCTGAAAAATCTCCAAGACTATTTATTTATATTTAATCTTCTCTAATCTTTTTTTTTAAATCTTTTTTCTGTCTTCAAAATTTTATTGTCAATGTGCTTTTTTTTAAATGAACATACGTTAATTGTTGTAGGCTATTTTTTTGGTAACTCAAAATATATTTTAATTCTTAAAATAAAGCTTAATACAATATAGATAAAAAAACGTCAATGCATTTAAAATAAATAACGTGAATACTGTTTAGGCCAAAAATACTTCACAATAATGTATTTCAAGTATCAAAATCGTTCGTCCCAAAAAACGTATGAAGATATGACGTATTCTTTGCGAAATCGATGTAAGTTGATGAAACAACAAATGGCACTCGCTCTTCCAAACGATTTAATACAAATTATGATGTATCTTTAACAACACGTTTCGCTATATTATTATAATAATTCACCAAATTACCCGAATCATACATTTTCAGCTGCATCATCTTACAAATTAAATAGTATTCTTAAAATCACCGGTTAAAATGATAACGCTCAAAGAAAAATTTGTGACAACATACACAACGATAAAATATAAGTCACACATACACACACACACAAACACAGCCTCGAATATCAGTCACACATGAAAGGCGAAATTAGAAAATCAAAGAGCACGATATATAAAGTCGGAGACGATTTATCGTGTCTTGACACAATAATAACAGTATCAATACCATAAATATATCGTAAAACGATCGTATCGATTTAATTAGTCGTTCCGACTAAAACACATTATGTTCTTTGACTTCCGATTCACGATATTGCATCGAGTTTTACGAATAATATTGTTATAGAAGGAAATTGACGTGAAAATTGGGAAGTATTTTAAACTTTAGCTATTGAAGAGACAAAAAAGCACATGTGAAAAGCTTAAGGAAAATTAGTGTAAAACTAATTTAAATACACACTAAAGCCGAAAACACGAACCGGAGTTTTCACAATACTAAGCTACGAAAAGTTCACGTAAGCTTTAGTTTTATCTACCAACATTAAAACTAGTAATAACTGGCAACACTCTCTATAACCATATTAGCCAAATTACAAGTGACCGCGTTATCGACGCCCACAATGCTGAGTTATTTCTAAAGCTATTAAAGACCATCAAACGATCGAGCTCAATGCTAAATCTAATGCTTGATATCCAGCAAAATTTATTCGCATCTTAGGAAATTCAAAGGACAAAGAAACTGCAATTAATTCTTAAAACTTCTAAATCAATTATGATCTAAATGCCGCAACCACAAACCCAGCATCAACTTCAATATATTAGTGAAACAAGTGTACATTTCGTTTTCATTCATGTTGTTATTCTCGTCCCAATACGTCAATTTCCTACCGTAATCGCTACACAGTACCATCTTAACAAATAATTTACTTAGCATTTTACGCAGGAAACATCTACCTTCTACGTCCTCAGCTTCGGTACAAATTCGACAGTCACAGTTTCTACTTACTAAATTGGAAGTGGAAGATTTCATGTTCTCTGCTTTGGCAACACCGCCATCGGTACAGTCGGCGTCTGTAACCACGATCGCGGGCACGACCTTATCCGCCGCTTCTAAATTGACACACGTTTCCTTTGCTCCGATCGAATCCAAGATCTCATTAGCGGACATTCTCAGGTCACTGTATTTACATTTATGCGTTCCATTAAACATTTTTGTACCAGCCGAATCTTTTGTTCTAGAGCCGGACCCGTAGACTCTTCGAGCCGGTAGATTGTCGCAGCTCTTGGATTCAAAATCCTTTTTCATGACCTCCATCCTCAAATTCCTTTCTCTAACGATTCCCGGGAACGAAGAATCGAACACGCCTACCCGCCTCCGACGAACACCCCCCGCCCCATTACCATCACTGCTCGAAGCAACAGATATACTTCTGTAGTAAGGAACACGCATTTCAATGTAATCCTCATCCTCATACTCGTTCAATCCCAAACGCCTGTCACTATAGGGATGCGAAAAAGTTACTTGGGAGCTTCTTTCTTTTGAGTATCCATCTTTAGTACAATCCAGAACAGAAGTGCTAGATATTCTTCTTACAAGTTGAGGAACATCACGTGCCATACTCTCGAATGAATTCCGAGATGAAACTCGAAGTCCGAAGTCCTCGAATGAACCAGATGTAGTGTAGCACCTCTGTAATTTCTTTATCTGCGGCGAGAAACTACTGTTGTTCGTTTCCACACCTTTAAAACTGTCCCTCAATACAGACAGAGCTAAATTCCTTCCAAAAAACGCATTATCCACGTCAGAGGATGCACGCCTGCTTTTCCCTTTAATCGGAGAAGCCGGGATATCCTCGAAACTCCTGTACCGTTCCATCGTTAGTTTGTCTCGATCCTCGGAATGGATCGTCCAAGCAGAGCCGACGCTGCTACCCGACCAATCCGATCCCAAGCTCTGTAGATAGTTAAATATCTCGACGCCTCCGTCGAGTGATATCGACCTCTGCAAGGGAACATCGTGATCGTAAATGAATCGATTGTCGCAAGCACGTTCATCCTTCTCGTCGAATTTAGCACCGAGCCAGCCATCGAACTCGTGGCTGTTGGGGTTAAGCATCTGTAACTCCTGTCGCAGGTCTAATCTGGAGGTAGGGTGTTTTATATCGGAGTACCTTCGGTGTTTTTCAGTTTTCTCGGATGCCGAGTTGGGGTCCGAGTGTCTACGAGGGGGCGGGGGCGGAGCCGGGGGTCGAGGTAGCCTTGCCACCGAACGTGGAAAGTGAACGACGCGGGAACGATCCCACGGAGATATCACACTCAGCAAGGAACTTGCGAAAACTGCCAAAAGATAAATATCCATTAAAAAAAAAACTTTTTTTACTAACTATTAAACCTCGTTGCACTAAAAATATTACTGCAAAACTTTACTAGAACAAATTTGAATTAGAAAAATATATTTTTAATTTATTAATATCTACTTCATGCAAAGACAAACTAATGTGAGTCTATCGACGTTATTTTAAATACTGTGCATCACTTGAGGGTTAAAGTATGTTAATTAGTAGTGTCCTTATGTTTGAAGGCGTCTCTGAAAACAACAATTACATCTAATGAGACAGGTGACAAAGACATTCGACATCATCCTTATGTAACTAGTATCAGTACTGCGAAATATTTCACGAAGGCACGCATATTAGCATGACTACAACAATCTGGGCAATAGCAAGTCTATTTTGATTTAAACACGGAAATATTTCTAGTCTAATCAATCTTAGAGACTACTTCATGGATTCCCACTTAAATATCATGGTTTCCCCACCAAACAGTATTGATAATTTGTATGGCCACGTAAGGTCCGACGTGAAAGATGGGCTGTTTTTTTTCCTACCTGATAACCTTGAGAGGCTATTTCAGCTTCTCCTTGACGTGTAGGCGAGTTCACGGGGCTTAAGCCGAGAGTGTTGCTAACACTGGCCGTAGCAAGAGCAGTGCTTCGCAGAATCTACCACCGAATTGGAAACGCGACCCACTGATAAGATCCGGCGAGAAACTCAGTGGGCAAATGTCCTGAATCTTCCTAGGTCGATTCTCGATTTGAACCTCATTTCACCTGCCTCATTTCTTTTCAATCAGAGATCACCTTTCAAACATTAAGGACACGAACACGCAGACGAAATACCTCCGCGTCCGTGGCTTTAGTACCAAGGGCCGAAAGAGATCCGTGGCGGTGGCGAGCGACGACCTTGGTTCTTAATGTGGAACAGCAACTCGCACCTGCCCCAACCCGCAACATAATATACTCAAGGAGGTATAACATAAAAAAGGAGAAATAAAAAAAAGGATGGGAAAAAAGAAAATGGATATACAGGTAAAACAAGAAATATATACATACATATATATAAGGTTGACAATTTTTTTAAATAGAATACTAATAAATTTTTCGTAAATTCATAATTAAGAAGTTATTTAAGTTTTGTAATAAGATAGAAGTTTTATCGGAACTTTATTCGGATTTAAATTTTACAGAAATCACAGTCAAAAATGTCATTTGTTGCAATTTTAACCGATTCAAATTTTGCTTAGTTTTCGTGAAGCAAATTATTTCGTCGATCAATTTTTTATTGAAAAATCTTGATTAAAAATAAAGTGCATATCTTTTACAAACGGCAATAGAATAATTTGAAAAATCTTTAAATAAGCATTGACATGAATAAATTTTAGTAATGATTGATAACATGGAGAAATTACAATGAAAATTTAATTGAAATGCAATGAAACAAAACAACAGAAACATGAAAATAATATTAAAATAAGAAAAAGGTAGGATTTGTAATTAAAGCAAAAAGCTGTGACGAAGTCATTTCTACATTTCCCGCTGAAAAATAATCCTAATGGTGCGCCATTTTGTTCATACAACAATATTATCAGTGCTGTCAGTCAACTACGTATACGGTGTTGCCCCTGTAAGTGTCATCTAAAGAATATTTCCGTGGATTATTTCAACTGGAAATATAGAAAAATGCGTTTTCATTTTAATTCATGCGTGTACCGTGCTCCGTGCTTAGTGTACGATGAGTCCTGTGTGCATGATCTCTTTCGGCCCTGGTGTCATTTTCCGTAAATTTAAGTAAAAAACACACCTAAAAAGAGAAGATTTATAATTTTGAAAAAAAAAAAACAATTTCTGAAATTTTTGTTACGCTTAATACCTAAACATGCTTCACTACGGCCCAATAAAAATTAAACATAAAGAAAAATGTACCAGAACCAAATAAAAGCCGGTAGATAAGTATCGTTAGTTAAATGTTTTTTTTTTTCATTGGCATTATGAAAATTATTAAGACCTATTAAAAAGCAAATAAGCCTTGTTGAGTGCCGCGAATACTAAGAGAAATTTTTCAAAATGAAAACCGTATTATGTGAGTTGTTAGTTATAAAATGTGTATATGAATCCAAATTACCACTCATACATTCCCAGCGCTTGTTATGCTATTATTATGTGCGATGCAAAACAATGTGATTATGAATGAAGCCCAGTAGTGTATTTTCGTAAAATTTGCGGGTAGCTGATAAAAACTACTCTTCTAAAATTTAATCTTGCTGTGAAATCAGTATTGAAATAGAATTTTAATCTACGCTTTATGATGAAGCAATATTATAAGCGATATTGGTATATAACCAAGGCGCCCTGACGATCATACACCTTTCTAGGGTTAATAGACATACAGGCCCATAGACAAACCCACCCGTATGCTGACACTGGTCCAGAAATAAAACTGAAACCTCGATTGCTTTGTTTCAGCAGTTTAAAAGTTCAAACCATAAACAATTATTGCTTCGTGCCGAAATAAAAATGCCGATATAGTAGGTATTTTCTTCGTTTTCGCGACTTGTCATAATAATTAAAATTACTTTTACAGTTTAATCTCGAGTTTTTATTTTATTTACATTTTAGTTTTTGTGACGTTTAGAATACAGTTTTATTGGTCAAGGAGAATTAAGATGCTACTCGTCGACATTTGAATTTTGTTCTAACTGACATCTATTTTTCTTTTTTAAAAAATCTAGACTTTTAACCTTCGATCAACAATAGTAACTAGATTTCGGGTCGGTGCATAAAATCCGTCTCGACAAATAACAGCGCACTTGAAATGTGAGCTCTTATTTTGTTTAGTTCACTTCAAACACAGCCAATGTCAACCCGTCTCACAATACCGCAGTGTGTATTCAAAAGTTGCAAAAATAAGGCCCGAAAGAGCAATTTAACGGCCGGAGTATCTTACTTTCGGTAAGTACATGAAGTATAAACTATATTGTAAGCTTTAAACTTATAAATAATATTAAATTTTGAACAAAATTACCGATTTTTAACCACCGCTACAAATGTTGGCTAAGGCTCGGCCAACACATGGACAAACTTTTGCTTAACAGAACAGTAAATGCATGGAGTAGATTTGTGTTGTAATAATTTTTTAAAATTTGTTAGCAGCACTTCAAAATTAGTTGGTTAAAATTGGTTAATGCTGCTTTTGTGTCTGTTTGTTGGACTCTCATTAGATACTTAGCTTTCCATTTTTATTTTAGCTTTCCTANAATTTTGTATGCAGTTGGAACAGCGCCCCTAACGGCAAAGGAAGGCAAACGAACCCATTCGAACGAATGATTCGGCAGATGTGAAGCGCTCATTAACAGTCCCTTAATTTGTAAGAAGCTAGGATCCTACTTAAGTATATCTGTATTTTAAAGGTCTGTGTGCTTAGTGCGAGTTTTTTAACGTTCTCGATAGCGTAAAAGTTAACCCAATTTTGTATGCAGTTGGAACAGCGCCCCTAACGGCAAAGGAAGGCAAACGATCCCATTCCATACAAATACGAGCTAACTTTTACGCTATCGAGAACGTTAAGAAACTCGCACTAAGCACACAGAATGATTCGGCAGATGCGAAGCGCTCATTAACAGTCCCTTAATTTGTAAGAAGCTAGGATCCTACTTATGTATATCAGTATTTTAAAGGTCTGAACAAAAAAAAAAAACATGGCCGACTTCGGTCAGCTGTTTAATTTAATTGGTTTTAAATATTTTAACACTTGACATTCGATTGAGAGTTACAGCTAGTGTGAAACTTTTAGAGTTAAAAACTCAAAACAATCGGCGGGTCGTGAGAAATAATCGTGTGTTAGATCTAGTGGAGTCATCTGATTATGAAAAAAATTTGTTTGCCTATATGAAGCCGCTACTCGTCTGTTCTGCACCGGTGGTAGTGGATGAGGTATACTGGCCTGAGCCGGACAGAAGCTGCTATAGCATTATGCAATGAGTTAATGTAACATGTGATAAGACCAAATTGAGAAGTCAATCGAGACGGGGGTTTATATAAAGTTGGGGATCGGCCCTATTTCAATGACCGAATTACCTTAAAGTCCAAGAAATGGCAACATCGCGTGTTTTAACGGAGTTTTTGTGATCGAGGCCCTAACAAAGAATTTTATCAAACGTTTAAAATAAAAACACTTTTGTCTTCCTGTACCGGGCTTCGATAAACCATTGTGAATAAGACCGGAAATATTACAGTAAAACAACCAACCACGAACTTTGCCGTTCATATTAATTTGCCTCTACAGCCAACGGGAGACGTTATAATTTGACGTAATAACTTGCACCATACGGTTTACATTTACACATTCCCATACAACCATATTCATTCAATCACGTAGGTGTCAAAACTCAAAGTTCATGACTCGCCGTTTTCAATGTTAGTTATTTAATAAATAATATTAGTATAAACATCCATTGAGATTACACAGTAAACACGACTGCACACTTATTATGGGTCTTTTTAGATTTCATATTTGTGCTTTGGAAACAAATGTACGGTACGTATTCTTAGTCAACTAATAGATTGGGACCAACTTAGAATGTAATGATTGTAAATAAATAAAAAGTGGTTTGTCGTTTAAGAGTCTCGAACTCTTGAAAGAAAGGAACCATTTGAGACAGCGTGATCTTTACATGCAAACTGCATTGGGTTAACTATTTTTAAATAATTAAAAATGGGAAAATTCAACAGCACTTTACGCTTAGATCAATAAGAATGCAAAATGTTCTGAGATAACTCAAATAATTTATTGGATTCGGAGCAAAATAAAAATTTTATTAACAAAATTAAGTCACTTTTATCCAAATATTGGTCTTTAACTTTACCATATTATTATATTCATTTCAGAGCTCAGAGCTATTACTGATATAAATGAAGATCATATTAAGTAATTTCAAAGATCTTTAAAAGAACTAGCATGTGTGTACATAAGTAGTACTTATAAAGTTGTATTACCAGATTAAATACCAAATAAACAATGTTGAGTTTTATTAATGTACACACTTGCCTCGCTTTAGCTGATACCGTTGTATGGTCATGCAGAAAAATGAAGCTCCTAGAAGACGAGCTTTCGATAAATTTCGTCGAATTTTCTCGTCCTCCATTTCGCAAAGCTAAGACAGAGGTATCCGACTAATGCTACCTACGTAGCCATCCATCGTAATCTATCATAGCCTACGGAGCCGAGGCGTGGACACTCACAGAAAGGTTAATTTGTAAGTTTACAACTCAGTTTTTAAATAAACTGTTTCTTTTTACGGTGCGCAGTTTTGTTTACTGAATGTAAGATAATTAGCACTCAATACACGCTAATAATTGATACACACTGAACTAACTATACGACAATCATTGAAGCAGACAACGAAGATGACAAAGAAATAAATTGTGTTTCGCCAAAACGTGCAATTAGTTTTGTCCGTGTGGATGATACTAAATTTTTTAATTATCTGTTAAGCACCAATACTGTTACAACTATGTTCCTTCGGTGTTTCATTTTGTTAGACATCTTAAGAGCCACGTATTCTTCGGGAAGATATACACATATCTAATATTAACTTACGATGTCAGAAAACCTAGTTCTTATTTTTATTACAGAATTCGAAAATTCATTTAACATTAAAAACGATATATCGACGCTTGAAAGGCAAACGTGACTAAGCGACAATGCGTGAACTTTACAGTAGACTAATTTAAAGTTGAAATACCTGAAAAAAATATATTTTAACGAATCTAGCTGTAGGATTGAAATGATTTTAAAAAACCTAGAAATATATTTTTTTCCGCATCGAATATGGTTATTGCCTATCATTTATGTATAAAGCAGTTATTGTCGCTTAGTCACGTTTGACTATCAAGCGTCGATATATATTTTTTAAAGTATCAAGTATGTTTAACAAACATTATTCTTATTCAATAAATGATCGTAGCTTAGCCACCAATAGCCGCGCAAGCCAATAATTACAGCGCATATGTATACCTATTTATGGAAGCATTAAATTGGTCTGTCGAAATCCTTAAAACAATACATCTTGTATTGATTTCATTCTTTGCTGAAAACTAAACAAATTTGATTTGAACGATATTGATAGCTAAGCTACGTCTGGAGAAACTACTACTGTAAGGCTAAACCTGAAAAATCTCCAAGACTATTTATTTATATTTAATCTTCTCTAATCTTTTTTTTACTCTTTTTTCTGTCTTCAAAATTTTATTGTCAATGTGCTTCTTTTTAAATGAACATACGTAAATTGTTGTAGGCTATTTTTTTTGGTAACTCAAAATATATTTTAATTCTTAAAGTAAAGCTTAATACAATATAGATAAAAAACGTCAATGCATTTAAAATAAATAACGTGAATACTCTTTAGGCCAAAAATACTTCACAATAATGTATTTCAAGTATCAAAATCGTTCGTCCCAAAAAACGTATGAAGATATGACGTATTCTTTGCGGAATCGATGTAAGTTGATGAAACAACAAATGGCACTCGCTCTTCCATACGATTTAATACAAATTATGATGTATCTTTAACAACACGTTTCGCTATATAATTATTCACCAAATTACCCGAATCATACATTTTCAGCTGCATCATCTAACACATTAAATAGTATTCTTAAAATCACCGGTTAAAATGATAACGCTCAAAGAAAAATTTGTGACAACATACACAACGATAAAATATAAGTCACACATACACACACACAAACACAGCCTCGAATATCAGTCACACATGAAAGGCGAAATTAGAAAATCAAAGAGCACGACATATAAAGTCGGAGACGATTTATCGTGTCTTGACACAATAATAACAGTATCAATACCATAAACATATCGTAAAGCGATCGTATCGATTTAATTAGTCGTTCCGACTAAAACATATTATGCTCTTTGACTTCCGATTCACGATATTGCATCGAGTTTTACGAATAATATTGTTATAGAAGGAAATTGACGTGAAAATTGGGAAGTATTTTAAATTTTAGCTATTGAAGAGACAAAAAAGCATATGTGAAAAGCTTAAGGAAAATTAGTGTTAAACTACTTTAAATACACACTAAAGCCGAAAACACGAACCGGAGTTTTCACAATACTAAGCTACGAAAAGTTCTCGTAGGCTTTAGTTTTTCTACCAACATTAAAACTAGTAATAACTGGCAACACTCTCTATAACCATATTAGCCAAATTACAAGTGACCGCGTTATCGACGCCCACAATGCTGAGTTATTTCTAAAGCTATTAAAGACCATCAAACGATCGAGCTCAATGCTAAATCTTATGCTTGATATCCAGCAAAATTTATTCGCATCTTAGAAAATTCAATGGACAAAGAAACTGCAATTAATTCTTAAAACTTCTAAATCAATTATGATCTAAATGCCGCAACCACAAACCCAGCATCAACTTCAATATATTAGTGAAACAAGTGTACATTTCGTTTTCATTCATGTTGTTATTCTCGTCCCAATACGTCAATTTCCTACCGTAATCGCTACACAGTACCATCTTAACAAATAATTTACTTAGCATTTTACGCAGGAAACATCTACCTTCTACGTCCTCAGCTTCGGTACAAATTCGACAGTCACAGTTTCTACTTACTAAATTGGAAGTGGAAGATTTCATGTTCTCTGCTTTGGCAACACCGCCATCGGTACAGTCGGCGTCTGTAACCACGATCGCGGGCACGACCTTATCCGCCGCTTCTAAATTGACACACGTTTCCTTTGCTCCGATCGAATCCAAGATCTCATTAGCGGATATTCTCAGGTCACTGTATTTACATTTATGCGTTCCATTAAACATTTTTGTACCAGCCGAATCTGTAGTTCTACAGCCGGACCCGTCAACTCTTCGAGCCGATAGATTGTCGCAGCTCTTGGATTCAAAACTCTTTTTCATGACCTCCATCCTCAAATTCCTTTCTCTAACGATTCCCGGGAACGAAGAATCGAACACGCCTACCCGCCTCCGACGAACACCCCCCGCCCCATTACCATCACTGCTCGAAGCAACAGATATACTTCTGTAATAAGGAACACGCATTTCAATGTAATCCTCATCCTCATACTCGTTCAATCCCAAACGCCTGTCACTATAGGGATGCGAAAAAGTTACTTGGGAGTTTCTTTCTTTTGAGTATCCATCTTTAGTACAATCCAGAACAGAAGTGCTAGATATTCTTCTTACAAGTTGAGGGACATCACGTGCCATACTTTCGAATGAATTCCAAGATGAAGTTCGTAGTCCGAAGTCCTCGAACGAGCCAGATGTAGTGTAGCACCTCTGTAATTTCTTTATCTGCGGCGAGAAACTACTGTTGTTCGTTTCCACGCCTTTAAAACTGTCCCTCAATACAGACAAAGCTAAATTCCTTCCAAAAAACGCATTATCCACGTCAGAGGATGCACGCCTGCTTTTCCCTTTAATCGGAGAAGCCGGGATATCCTCGAAACTCCTGTACCGTTCCATCGTTAGTTTGTCTCGATCCTCGGAATGGATCTTCCACGCAGAGCCGACGCTGCTACCCGACCAATCCGATCCCAAGCTCTGTAGATAGTTAAAAATCTCGACGCCCCCGTCGAGTGATATCGACCTCTGCAAGGGAACGTCGTGATCGTAAATGAATCGATTGTCGCAATTACGTTCATCCTTCTCGTCGAATTTAGCACCGAGCCAGCCATCGAACTCGTGGCTGTTGGGATTAAGATTCTGTAACTCCTGTCGCAGGTCTAATCTGGAGGTAGGGTGTTTTATATCGGAGTACCTTCGGTGTTTTTCAGTTTTCTCGGATGCCGAGTTGGGGTCCGAGTGTCTACGAGGGGGCGGGGGCGGAGCCGGGGGTCGAGGTAGCCTTGCCACCGAACGTGGAAAGTGAACGACGCGGGAACGATCCCACGGAGATATCACACTCAGCAAGGAACTTGCGAAAACTGCCAAAAGATAAATGTCCATTAAAAAAAAAACTTTTTTTACTATCTATTAAACCTCGTTGCACTAAAAATATTACTGCAAAACTTTACTAGAACAGATTTGAATTAGGAAAATATTATTTTTATTTTATTAATATCTACTTCATGCAAAAGACAAACTAATGTGAGTCTATCGACGTTATTTTAAATACTGTGCATCACTTGAGGGTTAAAGTATGTTAATTAGTAGTGTCCTTATGTTTGAAGGCGTCTCTGAAAACAACGATTACATCTAAAGAGACAGGCGATAAAGACATTTGACATAATCCTTATGTAACTATAGTATCAGTACTGCGAAATATTTCACGAAGGCACGCATATTAGCATGACTACAACAATCTGGGCAATAGCAAGTCTATTTTGATTTAAACACGGAAATATTTCTAGTCTAAACAATCTTAGAGACTAGTTCATGGATTCCCACTTAAATATCATGCTTTCCCCACCAAACAGTATTAATAATTTGTATGGCCACGTAAGGTCGTGAAAGATGGGCTGTTTTTTTTTCCTACCTGATAACCTTGAGAGGCTATTTCAGCTTCTCCTTGACGTGTAGGAGAGAGCTCACGGGGCTCAAGCCAGGAGTGTAGCTAATACTGGCCCTAGCAAGAGCAGTGCTTCGCAGAATCTACCGCCAGATCGGAAACGCGACCCACTGAGAAGATCCGGCGAGACACTCAGTGGGCAAATGTCCTGAATCTTCCTAAGTCGATTCTCGATCTGAACCTCATTTCACCTGCCTCATTTCTTTTCAATCAGAGATCACCTTTCAAACATTAAGGACACGAACACGCAGACGAAATACCTCCGCGTCCGTGGCTTTAGTACCAAGGGCCGAAAGAGATCCGTGGCGGTGGCGAGCGACGACCTTGGTTCTTAATGTGGAACAGCAACTCGCACCTGCCCCAACCCGCAACATAATATACTCAAGGAGGTATAACATAAAAAAGGAGAAATAAAAAAAAGGATGGGAAAAAAGAAAATGGATATACAGGTAAAACAAGAAGTATATATAGATACATATATATAAGGTTGACAAAAAATTTAAATAGAATACTAATAAATTTTTCATAAATTCATAATTAAGAAGTTATTTATGTTGTGTAATAAGATGGATTTGAATTTTACAGAAATCATAGTCAAAAATGTCACTTGTTGCAATTTTAACCGATTCACATTTTGCTTAGTTTTCGTGAAGCAAATTATTTCTTCGATCAGTTTTTTATTGAAAAATCTTGATTAAAAAAAAAGTGCATATCTTTTACAAACGGCAATAGAATAATTTGACAAATATTTAAATAAGCATTGACATGAATAAATTTTAGTAATGATTGATAACATGGAGAAATTACAATGAAAATTTAATTGAAATGCAATGAAACAGAACAACAGAAACATGAAAATAATATTAAAATAAGAAAAAGGTAGGATTTGTAATTAAAGCAAAAAGCTGTGACGAAGTCATTTCTACATTTCCCGCTGAAAAATAATCCTAACGGTGCGCCATTTTGTTCATACAGCAATATTACCAGTGTTGTCAGTCAACTACGTATGCGGTGTTGCCACTGTAAGTGTCATCTAAAGAATATTTCCGTGGATTATTTCAACTGGAAATATAGAAAAATGTGTTTTCATTTTAATTCATGCGTGTACCGTGCTCCGTGCTTAGTGTACGATGAGTCCTGTGTGCATGATCTCTTTCGGCCCTGGTGTCATTTTCCGTAAATTTAAGTTAAAAACACACCTAAAAAGAGAAGATTTATAATTTTGAAAAAAAAAAACAATTTCTGAAAATTTTGTTACGCTTAATACCTAAGCATGCTTCACTACGGCCCAATAAAAAATTAAACATAAAGAAAAATGTACCAGAACCAAATAAAAGCCGGTAGGTAAGTATCGTTTGTTAAATGTTTTTTTTTCTTCATTAGGTTTATGAAAAATATTAAGATCTATTAATAAGCAAATAAGCCTTGTTAAGTGCCGCGAATATTAAGAGAAATATTCTCTAAATGAAAACCGTATTATGTGAGTTGTTAATTATAAAATGTGTATATGAATCCAAATTACCACTCATACATTCCAAGCGCTTGCTATGTCATTATTATGTGCGATGCAAAACAATGTGATTATGAATGAAGCCCAGTAGTGTATTTTCGAAAAATTTGTGGGTAGCTAATAAAAACTACTCTTGTAAAATTTAATCTTGCTGTGAAATAAGTATTGAAATAGAATTTTAATCTACGCTTTATGGTGAGGCAATATTATAAGCGATATTGGTATATAACTAAGGCGCTCTGACGATCATACACCTTTCTAGGGTTAATAGACATACAGGCCCATAGACAAAGCCACGCGAATGCTGACACTGGTCCAGAAATAAAACTGAAACCTCGATAGCTTTGTTTCAGCAGTTTAAAAATTCAAACCATAAACAACGACTGCTTCATGCCGAAATAAAGATGCCGATATAGTAGATATTTTCTTCGTTTTTCGCGACTTGTCATAATAATTAAAGTTACTTTTACGGTTTAATCTCAAGTTTTTATTTTATTTCCATTTTAGTTTTTGTGAAGTGTTTAGAATACAGTTTTATTGGTCACGAAGAATTAAGATGCTACTCGTCGACATTTGAATTTTGTTCTAACTGCCACCTATTTTTTTTTTTAATCTAGACTTTTAACGATGCATTTCACACAGAACTAATAGTGATAGTATCTTGTTGTATTTTGTACAACTTCTTGTATCAGTTCGTTTGATTTGCGTTTTCATCTTCACGATAACGTGTGAGATAAGCAACAACTCTTCTCTAATAAAGTTTGAAGTATAAAGTTAGAAGTTCGACTTCTTTGGCGTAATTATTTATTTATTTATTATTAGTTTTCATTTTATTTACGAATAAGAATTCACTATGATGCCTTTTCTCAATCCCGTCAAGAGAAGTTTAACTTCCATAACATTAACCTTTTGAAACATACCAAGTGGACCGTGAGCTCAACCCGTCTGTATAATTAACCACAAAGCCATTGAGTTTCAAACGAGCGTTTCATGCTGTTCACAAAACATGCAGACATACGAAAAAATTTCACCACACCGACCAAGTTTTTAATCCACATTTATCATTTAACCGAATATCAAAATGTATTCTATTAATCACGCTACCAACTACCATTTATTGCTATATACACCATCTAAAGATTAGCAAATTTTTTTTTCCAAACAATATCTAATATTACTTTTCACCGATAATGAGTATAAGATGAAATTAGCGGTGGAGCGTGTATTCCTACCGTGAAGTGACTAAGACTATGCCAGGCTAACGGGACAGTCGTTATGCAATTCAATTGAGACATCGACCTCACGTCTCAAGATAGTTGGCGGCATTCACGGGCGCTTCTGTCACCGAAGTTGAACTACAGATCGGCCGTGAAGTGATCTGGTGATCTGTTTGTTTATTAGGAGGGTTTGAGAACTCACAACTTCCTGATGCCACCGCGTCGTTTCCATGGGGCGTCGTCGGGCTCCGCGGGCAGCGGACCCTGCACGGGCGGCTCCTCGTCGGGCGCCGCTGAGCTCAGCAACGGCGACGAGTCTGAACCGCTACTGGAAAACAAGTTCTTAATTGAAGACATGCGTAGACTTTTTTTTATTCCATAGATGGGTGGATGGATTTACAATGTTAATGCGCCACCCACCTTGAGATCTAGTTCTAAAGTTCTAAGGTCTCCTAAGCTGCTTTCAGACTACGCTATAATATAATAGCATATAGTGTATAGCTCATAGCACAAAAATATCGCGCACCATACATTACTATGGACACGTTCACACTATACTGTACTATATATTCTTGGCTAAGTATACGCTGCTATACTATATGGCACTATAGTATAGCGTCGTCCGAAAGCAGTTTAATATGGTCGCATCTATACTAATATATAAATCTACAGTGGTTTTTACGGATGTTCCGTTATAACTACTGAACCGTGCATCCGATTGACTTGAAACTTGGTATTCATGTAGAAAATACATGTACTTAATGGGTAATATTTATATGAGTGTTGGACTCCCTACACCAGTTGCGGGGGCGTTAATGACAAGAATCTTTGTAGCGGTGAGAAATAATAATATTAATTTTAAATGCCCAGCGATGCGGACGGTACAGCTATTCACTTGATAAGACTACACCGGGCGTCTTAACATTTAGGCCAAGACGACTCTAAAGGTCATGTATACAAATGTCATCCTAAAAGTGGTGGCATAAATTTCTGATCTACTAAATATGTACGTTATTATTATTTACCTGTCTGGCTGCGGATCGATCTGCAGAGCCCGGATCTGTTCTTCAGCGCGGTTCAATTTAAGCTGGAGCTCATTCCGCTCGTGCAGTATCGCGCTGTATGAAGCTTTCGTCGATTGATCTTCCTCGTCCGGAGCTTCGGGGGACGCAGAGCCGCATGTTGCGCATTTCTGCATAAAAAAACGTTTTATTTTTCCGAAAACTAAGAATAACATATCAATAACATAAATATATATATATATATATATATATATATATATAAATGAATTGCTGTTCGTTAGGCTCGCTAAAGCTCGAGAACCGCTGGACCGATTTGGCTAATTTTAGTCTTGAGTTATTGTGGAGATCCAGAGAAGGTTTAAAAGGTTAGATAAATATGAAAATGTTCGGAATTAATTAAAAATAACAATTTTGTTTTCCCTTTGATGTGTCCCCCGTCGGACGGATTCTTTTTGTTTGTCTTAAGTTTATTTTATACAAAAGTTTAAGTCTTTTATTTGGCACTACGAAGTCTGCCGGGTCAGCTAGTCTGTTTAAAAAATACAATCCGATAACCATTACGATATGTATTTATTTAATAAATTTAAAATAAAAGTATTCATGACAAAAGAAATGGGTTTCAAGATCGAAATACGATATTTTTGAAATACCCGCAAATGGCTTTTTGAAAGTACATTCGAAGCTTTGACTATACAAAAAAAAATACCTTCAAATCCAACGACCTTATTACAAATTAACTGACGATCAATAGACGATACTAATGATTTTAAATTCGATAATCGGTTACAAGTGAGAATAGATCTAAAATGCGGTCCGAACCTTTTGTTGCGCTTTAGTTTGCTGTAACGCGGATATGTCCCGTTGCTGCGATTGTACGATGGCAGTCAGCTCCGAACGCTCCTCGCACACGAGCCGCATCTGCAAAAGGCGAAACATTGATTAGATTCTTATTTGAGAATCGAGTAAAAATACTGAAATGTCTAAAAATCACTAAAACTCATAAAAACTGAATATGAATTTGTGGTAAACTCGTTATTCTCATTGATTTTCGACGCGAATTTCCAACGAATTTTTTTTTTTTTTTACTTAGGTCGTCCGTCGACCACGCAGGTCGTAAAAGTAGTTTTAATCGTGATAATTTGATTTAAATTCACTTATATTTATTAAATTGAGTTATTTATTATAGACAAAATACATATATTTTTTTCTCTTTTCACACTTTAATATCTGAAACCCTAATTTTGATAATTCAATGTGTTTAACAAATAAACAAATTTAAAACTATTGCTAGACAGTTAATGAATGTCATCTGTCATCATATGTCACGTCAAATGCAAAAAAAAGAAAGAGTCAAAACAATATCTTTAGTATTATTTAAACAAAAAGAGATTACCTGATTCTGTAGCTGCTTGTACTTCCGCCTGAGATCCCGACTGACCTGGGCTAGCTGGTTTGTCAGCTGAAACGTGTCAAGGATCGCCATTTTAATTTTGTAAACTTAAAAACGAACTATTCACTGAAATAATTCCTAAAGTTTACACGACACATTAGTTAGTTTTTTATTCTTCTCTTTTATTTGTAAAATCTCGAATCACATAGAAAAAAACACGTGATGGCAACGATGCGAAAACATGACAACGCCAGCCGCTGTCGTTATCAATCATAAAAATATATAGCCATACTAGATTAATAATTCGTCGTGTGTGTTGCAGATCAAACTTTATTTCCGCCAATGTGTTGAGAATAAAGTCTAGATAAAAATGTCACTCGGTGTTTTTGTTTTTCTATCAAAATTTTACATTTCCACTCTAGAACATAGTTCCGAGTATAACACCGTCTACATAGTGGCGTTGGCGTCGCAAAAGCGACCCAAATATGCTACTCGGGAAATTTTGCATCTGCGATTTGTCATGATGAGGTGGGGGAGGAAACTCCTCGAATGGAGGCCACGGATGGGTACAAGGAGCGTGGAGCGTCCTCCAACCAGGTGGACTGACGACTTAGTGCGCACGGCGGGAAGTCGTTGGATGCGGAAGGCGGAGGACCGCATTATGTGGAATGCATTGGGGAAGGCCTATGTCCAGCAGTGGGCAGATAAAGGCTGTTGATGATGATGATGATGATGATGATTTGTCATGATTTTTTTGGGGCGTATTATGAAATGAAATATGTGAATTGTGGACAGGGAAAATAAAGCAAATTAAAAAGATTTTTTCATTCATTGCGACTAGCACAGTTTCGGAATACGCTATCATAACTTAGACGAATCGGCAAGAAAAAAAAGACTTGATCCTCTCCTAGAACATATGTGTTACTAACTTATCATACACATAGTTTTGTATCATAGTATTATTCAATCAGTATATATTAAAGGCAAGATGGTAGTCATGCTGCCTATATTTAGCCTTCAATCATGCGTTCTGGTTTAAAGGGTATAATATATGTCTGTGCATATGATATCGTTTGCGAATGATATTTCTTCATTGTGGATATTCAATCTGTTGAGACTATAGACTCTTCTTCTATATCGTTCCCTCACTACTGAAGATCGCGACCACATGTGACGTTCTTCCACTGTGTTCAGTCATGGGTGGCACGGACCGGATGGTACAGACTACCACCAAGTGCTTCTCTTACTAGATCTGACCATCTGGCTGGTGTACTACCCACGTTTTTTTAATTTTATTTTTGAGCTCACAGCCCACCTGATTTTAAGTGGTTACTGGAGCCCATAGACATCTACAACGTAAATGCGCCACCCACCTTGAGATATAAGTTCTAAGGCGAGACCTTATAGTTACAACGGCTGCCTCGCCCTTCAAACCGAAACGCATTACTGCTTCATGGTAGAAATAGGCAGGGTGGTGGTACCTACCCGTGCGGACTCACAAGAGGTCCTACCACCAGTTTGAGACTATGAGACCAAACTGTTGAAACTATAGACACGTATTCCTTTTAAAAAAAAAAGTATTTGAACACCGGCATAATCGAGATACTAGTACATAATTTAGGACCACGGCTGGTAAGGTCGTCTTGTAGCATCTTTTTTTTTATTTTCACTACGCACCTATGAATCTAGAATGTTATAAAAACAGACATTGTGTATATTGCCATATGCACTGTGACGTCAGCCGCCTGATACCTACAGACGACAGATCGCGATGAATAACGCAAAACCAATAACTTGTTGAAAAATGAACGCGTAAAGGTCAAATATTCACATATTCAGTTTCATGATATCATTATATTATTTTCTGAGAATGACTATTTTGTTTGAGACGCTTCAAATGACGTTACTTGAGATAAAGCGGCTTGGCTGTGCTTTGCTTATGTCCATGAGCGAAGGTGACCTTTTATCAGACGAAAAAAAATAAACCTTTAATAATTTTGAAACCACGTGTTATTAAGCTTCGTCACTAAAGTAAATAGAATAAGGTACAATTATAATTAATCTAGGGTAGTTCATTTTTGGTTGGATATGCAGACGATTTGACAGTCGACATGATACTTATCAGGTACCGATTTTTTTTCCCCTACCTAATCTTTGGTAGCCTAAGGGGCTATTCCAACTAGGCCGGGTAGGTAAGTTATAGAGTTCACCTTGAGAGAACTTGTCATACTAGTGCAAACAAGAGCAGTGCTTCGCTCTATCTACTACCAGATCGTAATCACTACCAACTGGTAAGATCCGGCGAAAAACTCAGTGAGTTTTGTCTATGAGTTAATTTGCATATCGAACTCTTTTCAACATGACTTCGACGAGAATGGTAACCGGTACTTGAAGTGCCTAAAAGCACCATGAGTGGATCAAGAGGATCCGATAGGATATGTTTAGGATGGCTTTGCATTTCCCCATCGCTTTTTTTTTATTGCTTAGATGGGTGGACGAGCTCACAGACCACCGCGTGTTAAGTGGTTACTGGAGCCCATAGACATCTACAACGTAAATGGGTCACCCACCTTGAGATATAAGTTCTAAGGTCTCAAGTATAGTTACAACGGCTGCCCCACCCTTCAAACCGAAACGCATTACTGCTACACGGCAGAAATAGACAGGGCGGTGGTACCTACCCGTGCGGACTCACAAGAGGTCCTATCACCAGTAAAAAAATGTAATTAGAAGCGGCCACAACTACAGGGTTATTGCGTGACACTCCTTTTTCGAAAAAGCGTTCTGGTGCTGTCTTCAGATAGTTATGTATCGATTGTAATCTGAGGTTTTCGTGAAGTTCTACATTCTTAGCACAGCTATTCTGAAGAAAGTCAGTTGGATGATCTGGAGAGAGTTTAAGTGGGTGCAGTTCGCGTGAGCACTATACTAGTACAAATCGTGATGGAACGTATGCGAGCTTTGTGATATCACATTATTATCGATTAATTGAATCCATAGCGCGCGACTTAAATACCGCCGCCGCTCCTAAAATCTCAGGTCAGTCTTATTGCTTCGCAGTAAAAGCCAGTTACTAGGAAACAACATAGTAGTATAGTTCACAATCAAGCGTGTTCTCTACTCATTCCTTTACCTTACGGAACGCGAGACCCTTGGCCAGTGGGTGGCACAAACACTGAACATCTTTGTGCCGAACAACTTTGTGATTTTTACCCACCCACATCATAACCGCTATTTGATACCTACTCTGTCAATCACGAGGTCGCTTATATCTTCGAATCAGTAAGAGACAACCTCACCTTGAGTACATACTCGACAACGGGATTCTGATAAACGACACAACCGGCAACAAAACTAAAACACTACATTAAATTTTATTTCACATTCAGTATTCAAAAGAAACGAATGAATAAAATATGCTCCTAACGAGATACCCATTTTATGCATACGGAACTGACTTGACTAATTAGGACAGTGAAGAACATCAGTGGAACGTTGCAGATAATTTATATTTAAACTCCTAATTCACGGATGACAGTGTTTAGCCTTTGTTGGGAATAGATGCGATAGGGGAGTTTATTTCAGACGTTTATATCAGAGTGAAAGATAAAATATAAGTAAACCTTGAAAGATTGATTGTGGTGGGCAAGGTAGAAGGGAAAAGACCCGCCGGCCGGCCACCAAAGCGTTGGTCAGATCAGATAATTGCGCTCACTGGACTCTCTGTTGCGAACGCCCTGAAAAGCCCGAACCGAAAACCGAAGCAAATGGAAGTTGATGGTACAATGAGCCACGAAGGTTTTTCAGGAACACGACCTTCAGCAATGAAGTATTCGACTAAGAAGAAGAAGAAGAATATCAGAGTAAAATTCAGACTTCCACTTAATGACTCAATATGAACATCGATATTGTAGTGTCCAATTCTGGTAAAAGTTCAAAACCAAATAATATCTTTGAGTGATGAGGCCATTAGAATATTAGGCTTATGAATCTAGAATAGGTTACCAATGTCACCTATTCTCTCTTGAAAATAAATTGACACTCACTTCGTCCTCCATTCGTTATGCGAAAAAGATTATATAATAAAATATCGCATGACATCTATTGAAGTGAATTGATAAGGACCTCATTTCTTTTTTATCTATACGACGGCATCGACTTGTTATTTATTGCGCCGAAATGGAGGCTTGTTTTTCTCAAAATTTATCTCTAAGCTTATTTCCAGTAATACTAGAATATTTTATGTTTCGTAGATATTTATTGAAAGGTAAAAAAACACTTCAATTACATATAATATACTTTATTAGGTCGACGATTTCGAATCCAGGATGCGTGTGTATGTAAAAACACTCAGCTACAGACACATCAAATTACGCCTATTGGAATGAACCTTCATCCAATAACAACCGCGGTATAAAAAAAATCAAACCAACAAAATCTGAAACACACCTAGATTCCATTAACTATATAAAACATCCCCGTGTGAGATAAAAAACAAAATCGGATACAATCAAGTCGAAGAACCGAAGTCTCAGTTGTGTAATTAGAGTCATACCGTTTAAATCGTAACTGCTAGGCGACAGCAGTAACGTCACGTAAGCGTAAAAATTATCTTCAGACTATAAACGAAAATTTATTATCTATGTCTATCTTCATTATAAATTATTCGCTGTTTATAATTTAGGTACATTCATGAATGTACGTGTTTTTTATTTCACATATTACGTAGATGATCTCCTGTAGAGGTACCACTTAGAAGAAAGTTTGCCAAAAATATTTGCATATTATACTATATACAATTATAACGACACGACAAAGATCTTTTTAGTACTTTCACGAGAAAGTAATGAAATGCCTGAAATGCTCCTCCGCTAGTGCATGATATCTTTGGACAGCGAGGGATACAAGATATTTTCCAACTTCATCGACATAGGGAAAATTACGAACTATTATATAAGTATATTGTAACCTAATATGTTTTCCTTTCCTACTCTTTCTACAGTTCCTAATTGGCTCTCTCACTCTTTTCTAAGACCTATGTATTTCACAATTAATAAATCACCGATCTTTTTATACAAAACCACTTTGCAAATTAATACTACGATATAATATAAAAACACTCTCGTATTGATTTTATAAAATCGAATAACGGTCTTCGGAAGTTCAGTAAAAAAAAAACACAATAATTTTATCTATGATAATAATATCATAACGTAATTGTGTAATTATACTAATTATTTCATACGTAATCTAGAAGCTTGAATTAATTTCACTAACGTTATGGACGTTTTCTGAATACGTCTTTATATGCAAAGGTTTCGACTAATGGCATAAAAATGAAAGTAAATTTTTAAGAACGTATGACAGTTGAGGACAATGTGAAGGTATTATTACTAGCCGTGCTATTATTACAGTAACACAACACACTAGTTCACTCTGAAGATTACTAGCAAGTTTGAGCTGTTTTTTTTATGGTTGAAAGATTACTGGTGGCCCGGAGGCCTTTCCAGTTTCACCAGGACAGGTGAGGGCGAGCAAAGGCTCAGCCAGGAGGGGTGGGATTTGCTAACAGCTGCCCGATCGCCTCGGAAGTAGACCTAAGAACTCAAGAGCAATTGCTTCGCGAATGATTTGATCTGTACGGACAGCAGAGAAGGGCAAGTTGTACTTATTTGGTAAATCAAATACTACGAGCATTCATTCTTGAACGGCAAATCTGGAATGCACACTGAAAACGCACGAACCTATTCGTTACGACATAATTCGTCTGCATTAACGTTTGGCATTTGCGTTTGGAATCTTTACTTGTATTATTGTGAGCCGGTACGAATCAGCAGCGCCATCAAGTTTATTTTTACCACGAGTCAGTTTCGCGTTCCGCTTTGGAATACGCGAGAGCCGTTATTTAAAACAATAGTGACTTCGGTCTCGTGGCTCCGCTAATCGTGTGGATTAGTTTAGAACCTAACAGATGTGTGTGATGTCGACTGTTCTGTTGCAGTATTAAGAGTAAACAAATGAAATGTGTCAGATGTCGGTTGGAACAGGTGTGCAAGAGTTATTCATATTCAACGCACTGAGTTTCTCTGCGGATCATACCCGATCCTAATAGACCGAATGGTAAACAGTCGACGTCGCCCAAAACACGTCATTACGGATCCTGTCGATCTATTAACAGTGCTTTTAGGCACCACAAGCACCGGTCACCGTCCTCGTCGAACCCGTCGCTTGCGACGAAGAGCTCGACGAGCGAATTAACCCATAGACAAAGTCCACTGAGTTTCTCGCCGGATCTTCTCAGTGGGTCGCGTTTCCGATCCGGTGGTAGATTCTGCGAAGCACTGCTTTTGCTAAGGTCAGTGTTAGCATCACTCCGGTTTGAGCCCTGTGAGCTCACCTACTAGTTAAGGTTACGGTGAAATAGCCTCTCAAGGATATCAGCATAGGCAGAAAAAAAAAAAATCGGATCTTCTCAGTGGCTCGGGAGTTAGTGAAGCCCTGCTCTTGCTAAGACCAGTGTTAGCAAAACCTCCCAGGTTGAACCCCGTGAACTCACCTACCAGTCCGCACGTAGGGACAAAAAAAGTTAATCGTTTTGTTATGACTGCCTAAAATAAGCGGATTTGTTATACAATACAAATAAAAAAATACACTAACGATTATATTATTAGTCGTGCGCCGCGGCTGCACCCGTATTAAATTTACCATTCAGAAAGAATGGACGACGTCACTTTTTTCCGGGATTAGGAGTTGCTCGAACTAACAATATACTTTTCAAAAACCACCGAAGACTCTGTCGTTTTTACAATAGCGAAAATACGTAGGTCATCTCTTATACATTACAACTATCTATCTATATATATATATATAAATGAATTGCTGTTCGTTAGTCTCGCTAAAACTGGGGAACGGCTGGATCGATTTGGCTAATTTTGTCCTTAAATTATTTTCGGAAGTCCAGAGAAGGTTTAAAAGGTAGATAAATATGAAAATGCTCGGAATTATATAAAAATAACAATTTTGTTTTTCCTTCGATGTGTCCCCCGTCGGGCGGATTCCTTTTGTTGGTTTTAAGTTTATTTTATACAAAAGCTTCAAAGTTATAGACTATATTTGTAAGCAGCTCCGTCCAAACCTGTTGAGCCATTTTTACAATAAACATTCCAATATAAAAAAATACAATATTAATATATAAAATTACTGTCATAAGTCATAACATACGGCGTAAGGATTTTTTTAACCTGTACTTACTTAACTCAGGTCACAAGGTCGATTTTTTTTTTTTTTCTCAAATCGATTTAACAAACGTGGTCCGTTTCGAACCGAAATGTACTTAAATGCCAGTCGAAACCTCCTGACCCAATTGCATTAAAATAAAACCCTCATGTAATATTAACGCCTCCTAGACTGTGTGTACATACATTACCCCGACCCTTACAAGAGACTGAATAAGGTCACGTCTCCTTTACGACCGAACGAACCCCTTTTATATTTTCGACCTTCTATATAACGGCATAAAGCACATCGTAAATTCAAAGGTGAGATAATGTTTGCATATGAGGTCACCAGGTTGACGTTTTGAATGGGCCTCATTTTGTAAGCGAAGTAAGGATAATTTAGACTTCGACGAGCGAACTAAACCATAGACACAGCCCACTGTCCTGATTAGTTGTACGAGCATGGCTTACGTTACAAGCCAATTTTTTTACTTGTGGTTATTTATTGTGTATCTTTTCTTTTTTAGCTTGTAATGTGTGCCTAATAAATTAAAAAAAAAACGGTCAAAAGGCTCTGCAGATAACGTTTGCCAAACTTAAACTTAAACTTACACAAATATACTTGTGCCCACATAAAAAAACAAAAAAAAACTCACGCTATCGATCTGCTGTTGTTTTTCTTGTAGTTGCACTTCTTGGAGACGTAGAGTGGCACGCTGTTTCTCCGCGGTGCTGCTCAGTCGCGACAGCACTTCTTGATCGTGTTCACGTGCCGGAGACGGCGGTGCGCTTGTACCTAAATACGTACACGCAAATGAAATTCAATCAAACCTAAATCTATACGAAATCCTGACAACTTGGAAAAATTAATAGTTGTAGGCCACGTGGAAGGAAAGAGAAGTCGAGGAAGATTGCCAACCAGGTGGACGATAATGGTCAAGGAGGCCACAAACACCAGCGTCCCGGGCGCCATTAAGCAGGCCGAATGCAGGCAACATTGGAGGAAGCTGGTGCAAAAACTAGACCAAGGTGGTCACGACCCTCAGTAATGAGGAAGCGACGAAGAAGATCAAATCTAATAAAAATAGTTTTCGACTATTCAAAGGCCTATCGATTGAAACATTGCTGTTGATCACAGTAAATAAAAATTACGCTGTCTGTTGCTTAGCACTAAACACGCCCACTGAGTTTCTCGCTGAATCTTCTCAGTGGGTCCGTTTTCGATCCGGTGGCAGATTCCGGCTCTTACTAGGGTTCGTGTTAGCAACGTCGTCAGGTTTGAGCCCCGTGAGCTCACCTGCTAGTTAAGGTTAAGCTGAAATTGTCTCTCAAGGCTATCTATCAACTTAGGTAGGAAAAAAAAACTAAACATATTCACGATTAAACAAAATCTTGAGATTAAAAACACGAGGCAAGTCTGGTTTTCAACATTACAAATTGTAATTAGTTTTCGTGTATTTTTATAACTTTTTTTTAGGATAACGCAACTCGTATGAAGAGGTTCAGAGTGGACGTCTTAATGCGGATCTCACAATAATTTTACTCTAGTAATATTCATACTTTATTAGCGTTTCAGAAGCCTTATATGATTTATATAAATAGGGTAAGCTGGGATCAGAATTGCTTTCCCCGCAGTAGTCGAATAATAATAATAATAGACTATAATTAATTGGAATTGTAAGTTGTGCACTATTAAGATTGTATTTTATACTTCTATAATCACAGATTTCGCCAAGACAACACTATAAACAATATTAACAAAGACAAACAATATTTAATCTATTCTCAATTTGACAACAGACGTCAAGAACAAAAGTTTGACAATAAATAGTATGCATGCGTGTGTGCGTCAAATACATGGTATGTAGTGTGTGTAATGTTTTCTTTATTGATTTAATGTATCGTTTATGCATTATTTTAAAAAAATATTAGCATTGTGCACTTCTTCTCTATATTCTCTATAAGTGTGGAAAATTTCATACTCCTCCATCCGCGCAATTTTCGTAAAAAGGGATAGAAAGTTTTTGCTTCACGTTAATATATAGATGAATGCGAGTTACGATTTTTAAATGCAAAACAGAAAAAGTAAAAGATGTATCGATATAAATTAACCGACAAATGAACTTTACAACAATCGCAACCAAACTCCAATTCAATCTCCATAATAACACGGATAAGCAACGAAATCCCTTAATCCAATCATTTCAATTCACTGAATGAATACTGTGACCTAGATACGACTAAACTGAATCTCAATATTTTATCAAGCAAAGCGATTTCCTTTAATCCAATCTGGTATTAGTAAGTGTATTTACTACTAAGGTATTCTTCTTTTTCTCCACCTTATCCCACTAGGTGGGGTCGGCACAGCTAATTTTTCTCTTCCATTCTCTTCTATCAGCCGTCATCTCAACACTCACTCCTCTCTCTCTCATATCGTCATTCACACACTCCATCTATGTCTTCTTCGGTCGACCTCTTCCCCCTCTACCTTGCACTACCATTTCCATACATCTCCTAGTCACATGCATCTTCTCTCTACGCATCACAAGGTATTACTGCTATCATTGTAGTAATTTCTTTAGGAACTTTGGAACCATGCGAGAGTGACTAAGGAAATAATCAATTTTAAGACGAAATTATAAGTGTTTGTTTCAAATAGATAAATTCTATGTCTGCCAAGCCAGCACTGCTCAGGTCTTATGGCAATTAATTTTCGTAGCTTTTTTCTTTTAATTAGCCTCATCTTAGGGATCAAAATTGTAAGGCCTTTTCTACTGAAAACGTGTTCAAACGTCAAGCTAGCGTAGTTTTAAATTGAAATGGAAATTACTTATTTCGGTACGGAAGAATTGCGGTTGGGCCGGAATCTATCCTAATACGGTATGTATCTACTTTTTAAAACGCTAACACGCTTTTTTTAATGTAAGTACAATTTGTACAGGAGTCTAAAATATGTTTATTTTTTATATACTTCATACCCACGTCATAAATCTGTATTTGATAATGATCACGAGAAAGTTTTTGATTTTTTTAATTGCTTAGATGGGTGGACGAGCTCACAGCCCACCTGGTGTTAAGTGGTTACTTGAACCCATAGACTTCTACAACGTAAATGCGCCACCGACCTTGAGATATAAGTTCTAAGGTTTCAGTGTAGTTACGACGGCTGCCCCACTCTTCAAACCGAAACGCATTACTGCTTCACGGCAGAAATAAGCAGGGTGGTGGTACCTACCCGTGCGGACTCACAAGAGGTCCTACCGCCAGTTTTTAAAACGATAACACGTTTTTTTTTTAATGTAAGTACAGTACACAAGTTCTAAAACTTGTTTATTTTTTATATACTTCATACCTACGTCATAAATCTGTATTTGCGATCACGAGAAACTTTTTGCTTTTCAAATATCTGCGTCTTACTTTGATAGTATGAAATTGTTGATAAGTTTTAATTATAATACGTATTTAAAAGTGAAAGAGTGTTTGTAGAAATGACCAGATCATGTCAGTGACCGAGTTAGATTTAGATTAAAGAGTCCAATCATAACAGAATTACTCATTTCGAATTATTAACTTTTTATTATAATACTACTATTAATCTAATTAATTAATATAATATTTTTATAAAATAACGATTAAATTAAATTTTGTCGTACATTACGATTCGCAAGTAAAACATTTTATTGAATAATAATAATATATTTATATACATTTGATATATATAAAAATATATAGCAAAGGGCACTAATTAATTTGTATAGGTATCGATGTGCTACTCATTAATTTGTATAGGTTGTATAGTTCATATTTTTACGGCATCGTCACTATAGGCTTGGATCAAAACAAAAGTTATTTACTTCAAAACGACAGTAACAATATTAGGGCACGTCTAAAACATGCCGATTGTCTATGAATAGACGACAAATAAAACTTACCGTCCGCAGGCGCGTTTATTGTTCGCCGGAGACGCTTGTTCTCGTCCTGAAGTCTCGCCACGGCCGTTACTAACTCGGCCGATTCGGTTCGCCATTGCTCTTCTATAGCTTCGATTTCCTATGACAAAAATATATACATATTAATAAATATATAATTTAACTAGCCGTACTCGCCCGCTTCACTGGGCATTTTAAATTAACATTATTATTTATTTTCATTATTATTAGGGAGTCCAACAACACTCATATAAATATTAGCCTATCCATTGTACCATCCACATGTATTTTCTACATGGATACCAAGTTTCAAGTCAATCGGATGCATGGTTCAGTAGTTATAACGGAACATCCGTAAAAACCACTGTAGGTTTATATATTAAGTATAGAAGTATAGATTATACACGAAGAGGCAGTTAATAACAATATCAAATAAGAGTCAAATTAAAATCATTATTACTTAGTCGAGTGAACGAGCTCACGGCCCAACTGATGTTAAATGTGTGACCGTTAGACACCAGTAGCGTAAATGCTATCACCCATCTTGAGACACGAGTTTTAAGTCTTAGTTCTACATTACTCTACTCGTAGAAGCTATTATTTCTTACTCTTGTCGAATAGTCATCATAGCCCATGATGTCATTATATTTGGTTAATCTTTCATTTTCGTCTTACGATGACGTCACACGTAAAGAACTTCATTTGTTCGACTTATGCAGGGTTCGAAGGCAAACTGTTTTTTGTTCTTCATATACTCTTTTATAGTAAACATATCAAGCGATAGTATTTTAATAGAATATTGAAATAAAGAATAGAGAGAGCTGTATGAAATGGACGTAACCATTGTACATTTCTAAAGAATATTAACGGACACATCAATATACGTATGCCACAATACTTAAGCATAACATAATTATATATGAGGCCGTCAGCGCAAAAGTGGCCTAAGCTTACCATAGTTATTATGGAGCAATGAGGTTTAAGTTTTCATGAATTTGAATTTCAGTAGACAGAAAAACAATACGCGCAAAAATAATGTTTACAAAGCCATGTGTTTTCTATGGGTGAAACTATGGATAGGCCGGTTTTGCATCAAAATTGCCCACTGAGTTTCTCGCCGGATCTTCTCAGTGGGTCGCGTTTCCGATCCGGTGGTAGATTCTGCGAAGCACTGCTCTTGCTAGGGTCAGTGTTAGCAACTCTCCGGTTTGAGCCCCGTGAGCTCACCTACAAACGTTAGGGCGAAGCTGAAATAGCCTCTCAAGGCTAACAGCACAGGTAGAAAAAAAAATCAAAATAAATTGCAATATACATAATTATAAACATGATTACGAAAAATTGTGGGTTAGGCCACTTTTGCGCTGACGGCCTCATATATAGGTATATTTTAAATTTACGATTAGTAAAAAGTAGTATGTTAGTTTAATGTCGTTCCTAGGCAAAACAGCAGACGTGTTCCTGCATCCAGAATGGAGATATTTCCGTTTTATTCACATTTTGCATGAGCACGTCCATTTACACACACCTACATACTCCAAGTATACAATCGATTNCGTTCCTAGGCAAAACAGCAGACGTGTTCCTGCATCCAGAATGGAGATATTTCCGTTTTATTCACATTTTGCATGAGCACGTCCATTTACACACACCTACATACTCCAAGTATACAATCGATTCATTGGCTTAATGTTAGTGACCGTGTCTTTTATAACACGGAGTCAGGCGCATCAGAAGATGTTTTTTCTCAAGATATTTAGGATCTAGATACATGTCTTCTTTTTATTTCATACCTTTGCGGGATAGGAGAAGCTTTAGACAAAGCCCCAAGAACGTCAAATATGGAACGTTCGTATTTATATTTATAAACATTGACATCGGTAAACCTGCGTAGGTACGAAAAGTGAAATAAATGGTAGCCGTAAACTTCAGTGACTTCAAGTGACGTAAGTACTTTATTAAAAATTTTTAGGTCGTCAGGTCCCATTCATCCACTAATTTGCTTAATTCCTTTAGAGCCGAATTTAATTAAAATAGGCTTTGTCATGAAACATAGCAATTATTATAATTTGTGCCTGAAATTATCCAGCTTAAAATATTAAAACCAAAATATTAAAGTTAAGCATAGCAACATCATCCTATATGAATAGATCTGCACCGCCCGTTAATGCAACAATGGACCGTCTTCGACGATCTTCACGGCGACTTAAATTTTGAACCGATACGTAAGTATGTATCTAAAGGAAGCGTCAGAACGTTACTAAGAAAAAGCGGGGCGACACGGTAAGACTTTATCGTGGCCACCGTTATTAACATATCAGATCCAGGCGACAAGGCAACGCAAAGCTGCCTTCGTCCGAAACATGTCTTGTCGGATCCCCGAATCCCCTCCCGGGATTTCAGACTCTTCAAGCACCAGTCACCATCTTCGTCGAGCTCGTCGATTATAACGAAGAGTTCGACGAGCAAACTAACCTATAGACACAACCCACTTAGTTGCTCATCGGATCCTCTCAGTGGGTAGCGATTCCGATCGGTTGCAGAATTTGCAAAGCAATGGTCTTGCTACGATTGATTCCTACGGTCAAGGAATAAATAATCAAACCCGGAAAATTATAATTTGCATAATTACTGATGATAGGACCTCCTGTGAGTCCGCACGGGTAGGTAGCATCACCCTGCCTATTTCTGCCGTAATGCGTTACGGTTTGAAGGATGGGGCAGCCGTTGTAACTATATTGAGACCTTAGAACTTATAACTCAAGGTGGGTGGCGGCATTTACATAGTATAATATATTATGTCTATGGGCTCCGGTAACCACATAACACTAAGTGGGCCGTGAGCTCGTCCAACAATCTAGGCAAAAAAAAATTTTTTAAAATAAGCTTGGCAAATAATTGCCATTAATATCAGATCTGGGAATATAACATTAAGAATCAGTTTTTTTTTTAATAGGAAGACACGCGTGTTTACGACATGTATAGGGGGGACTAGTATAAATGGCACAATAGAACTCAATTAGACTTAGGGAAATATCCAAATTTTCTTAAAATTAATAAAAACGGTATTTCTTGCAATTTGATCTATGCAACGACTAATTATGTAAAATGTATTCTTCGTTCATTAATAAACAACTTTAACAATAGCGAGAAGGTAAAACCTCGATCCTTGAACCTTGAGCTGCACGTTAAGAAATTTTGATCAGAAAAAAAAAATCTAATTTACACCGCACATATTTGGACACATGAAATTTGGTGGTAGGACCTCTTCTGAGTCTGCGCGGGTAGGTACCATCACCCTGCCTATTTCTGCCGTGAAGCAGTAAAGCGTTTCGGTTTGAAGGGCGGGGCAGCCGTTGTAACTATACTGAGACCTTAGAACTGATATCTCAAGGTGGGTGGCGCATTTACGTCGTAGATGTCTATGGGCTCCAGTAACCATTTAACACCAGGTGGGCTGTAAGCTCGTCCACCCATATAAGCAATAAAAAAATAATTAAATCGGTGATTCGAAATACGGCATATTCCTAAACGGTCGAGATTAATCTGGATTTTTTTTGATATTCAATGCTATTCAGAAAATAAATCTAATTTCGTCGTGATCGTCGATTAGTTTGTTAAAAACAAGATAACTGAATACTGCGGAATACTACTTTGTGAGGGCGGTCGGCCTTCTAAATAATTAAAATAGCAAAGTTAATTTGACATCATAAAAGAGAGATCTACCAAACACCTACATTTAGAATCATCAAAATCCTTATTGATTGTTCTCGAAACTCTTATATTTTAGAGACCGTTCATTTTAAATATTAAGGTAAAAATTATTTTTATAGATATTTTGAAATGTTTCATAGATATTTTAGTTTCGCAATCTGCCATGAACGGCACTATAGTGGAGTCTCAGTAAAAATGCCTGCAGTTTGTCTTTGATCGTCAAATCCCCGGATCTTCTCAGTGGGTCGCGTTTCGGATCGGGTGGTAGATTCTGCCAAGCACTGCTCTTGCTAGGGCCAGTGTTAGCAACACCTCTGGTTTGAGTCCCGAGAGCTCACCTACACGCAGGGCAAAGCTGATATACCATCTCAAGGCTATCAGCATCAATACGGAAATACATGAAGTCAGCGTCGGAACGGTACTTCGATAAGGCTATGCGTCATGATAATCGCCTATCGTTGCCGCCGCTGACTACTCCCCGAATCCTGATCATGCAGGAGCCAGTCACCGTCGACATCCTAGACACGTCCTTACGGATCCATCAGATCCAATAACCTTTGTATTAGACGTCTTCAACTCTAACATTAGGAACAGTCTTAGGGACCCCGGTAACCGTACTCGTCGAACTCGACATAAAGGTCGACGTGCAACCTAACCCATGCATCAGCCCGCTGAGTTTCTCGCCGGATCTTCTCAGCAGGTCGCGATTCCGAACCGCTAGTACTATGTATAATCTATCTAACGTTAATAGTTTGACAGCAAAATGTTTACGGTATTGCTAGAGCCCTGAATAGGTCATTATAAATTATTATTTTTTATCCAGTGCAATTGAAACATCAACTTAATGTGTGATGCGGGTTGCGGAATTCAAGTTTGGCGTCGTATAGTTCCGGTAATCACATGCGGGCCGCGAGCTTGTACCTTCATTTACACCAATAAAAAACGGTGTTATGCAAATATTAACAATTTACAACATTCATATTCTGATTTAATACAATAATAATTTATATGACCAGGACAACAGCTAGAATACGTAATAATACATAAACAAGACGTCGACGTAAAAATTGCCAATATCTATGATTAAAACTACTTTTACGGTTAAATGTTCTGGAAGATTTATAGTTTTCGTAATACTAAACTGATTTATTATACAGTGTTAAGTAGTTTTAGTTATGTTTACGTTTGTTTTTGTTTCCAATTCTTTTTAGAAACAAATTACACGGCCATACCCCTTTATCAATTACGATTCTGTCGTGATCAGATGGTAAGGCACCCGGCGGTTTACCATACCGAGCGATGCGGCTATGCCAGCGAACGAATTCCGCAAGCGGTTATCAATTTTCCTAATGAAATATGTACGTGCTTGTTACACATGTTCAAGAATGACTTCTGCAATGAAGGATCGTGTAATAAAATACACGAAAACGATAATACGCGTAATTAATAGAGAGCTTTTCGTAAGCCCTCACTAAGAAAAACGAGATAAGCGGAATTGTCGCAAACAAATCATCAAAGTGAAAGAACGACCATCTTCTGTATGAAGTAAAATGAATGTAGCTGGTATTTGGCAGCCCTCACCCAGGGATAGGAGCAATGCTCTTCTGCAGTACCCGTGGGTAAAGCTTAAAGCATAAAGTTTGTCGAGGTATGAAACAACTTAATATTAAGTTTTGGCTTAACCTTCCAATTGTAATACTGAACATCACTAGAAATATTGACCAAAAATCTCAATACATTCTGAGGGTAACAGGGGTACTAATTGGAATTAAGGCACCACAACAAAGAGGTTTAATCATGATTAATTACTCATAAATCAAATAAATCCAGAAATAGCACCGCTAACTTCAATTTATTTACAAAATTTACTCAGTAATGTTATTATGGACTCTGAAAATAAAATTATATCATCAACGGAAGTGAAATGAATTACATTAACCAACAAAATCAATTACATTTTTTACAATTGTTGATATTTGGGGGTTTCTAACAGTATATGACATGCGAGTGAACTTGTATATCATTAATGATAGGTAAGCCATTTATCACACTTAATGGTGGATTAGCTAAGATTAGTTAATAAATATTATAGTAATATTACGGTAATTACAATAATATTATAGTAATTATGTAAAATGATGTGATCAACAGATATCAATGTACTAAGCTATGATTTAGCAATAAAAGTAGGGAAGTGGAATGATCTGCTCCCATTGGTATGTAGGCAGAGAATATTTAAATATGACTTTTAAATTTAGACGATTAAATTTCTGCAAATAAATATAAATCTGATTTGATTTGCCTAGAATTTAATATTAGGTCTATTGTAAAAAATATTGTAGACTGGTTCCATTTACAAGCTCCATAAAAACTTTGCTTCTCCTTATGAAAAAGTCAAAAGTGGTTAATTATGGGAGCGGGGAATGATTAAAGAATGCGTTCTTAGACAGTTTTTTTTTTTTCATTTTTCTTACTCACTAATGATTTTCATTGAGAAAAAACACCTTGGATAAATGTTGTAAAATTGCATTAAATTTTGTGTTGGTTCAAACAGTAAGTATTTAAACATCTGATCAAAAGCTTCACTAAAGAAAAGGTTTATGTAGAAAGGTTAAAAAAGTAGAAACATAAAACATATAATTATGCCAATTATTGTAAGTTAACCAACTTAAAAAATAAATTTAGGAAATAACTACAAAGTAAATGGTTTAGTATATTATAAAATTTAGTTTCCCCATCTGTGAAGAGCTGGAATAGCTCCTTAGAATACTCTTTAGAATAGAGAAGGGAAAAAAAGGAGAGTCCGAAGTAAGTAGAGACAATGTAAATGCCAGCACATATCTTGAGACAAGCTCGAGGTTTTAATTGCATTGCAGTCATAGGTCCTATCCAACTAAAAATGGTTGTACTTTTCATTAAACATAGTGTGTTATCAACCACAAAACATGCAATATTCAGATGATGGATTTTGTTATTGCCGTTAAAAGTGAAAGTCCACTTATCTATAAACTTTCTAGTGAAAGCTCCAATGATCTAAGATAAACAATAAATAATTATATGGTATAATTATTGTTTTCTAAATAAGAATATTCATATTAAAGATTGTATCATAATACAACCTCAACCATATCATACATTAGACTGTCTAATGTATGATATGGTTGAGGTTAATTCAGAGGTAACAGGTTGGCCGTCGCTCTAGCATTGTCGATGCTCATGAGGATTGACTACTTACTATCAGGTAGGTGGTATGAATATATGCCCACAAGGGCAATAAAAAAAACATGCAGACAATAACTTTACTAAGCCTATTCATTTCATTATTCATTGATTACTTGAGCGTGGGTGTTCACATTATTATCTTTCCAGTACACAAGTGAAAATTCTTGCTTGGAATAAATGTCTATGTGATTGCGATTAATTTGAATCTGTACTGAGATTTGCCAAGTCTAAGCAGAACACCTCATAAAGGGAATCTGTTTATGCAAATCATAAAACAAACACAAATCAGCTTAGGAAGCTACAAGAGTGGTTAAAATTTAATATTTATATTTACTTTAAGATACAATTGGTACATTGTTTACTTGAAACTGTTTTATATTTGTGTTAATAGCACTCTATCTGAATATTGAATTAAAAACCTTAATTTCAGCTGGATTATTGATGGAACAGTTCTTCATCTTTTCCGCCATAAAACATACTGAACAAGCTAAAGCTAAGATTTGTTGATTCCAACATACGGTAATTAGCAAATTGAACAATTTGACATTTTAATAGTGTTGTTTAGTTCAGTGTGAAGTTCAATGGACACTGAAAACACTGACAAACAAAACAACACATAATAGCATGCAATTATTTTTGGCGTGAATAATGTTTTGTTCACTTGTGTCACGTCGCGCAACCATCACTGCTGCGTTCTTTTGCAATGTTTTAAATGCATTTAGTTGGTGTCGAAATACTGGAATGTTTCGTGCGTTCGTACTAGCTGCACGCATGCATCAACCGATAATAGGACTAAATGGCAATTTACTTAACAGTGACCTCTAACACCTACCTTTTCGAACCGTTGTCTGTATTCAGCCTTTTCAATCTTGTCGTTTTCCAACTGCGAAATTTTTGCTGTTAGCTCCTGTAACGCTTGATTTTCCTTCTCATTCCTGACGGCTAAGTTTTCCAGGAGTTCCAGTGTGTTTATTACCTTCGGCAGCAAAGCTGTAACGGCGTCAGGGCCGTATTTTTCAATAATTATCTCACATTCTTTACCAATATCCGATGCAAGATCGTACACATCGACGACGGTGACGTCGTCCTCGTAATCCTGCATCTTAACCGGAAAGCGCCTGCGGTACGGCATTAAAAACACTTTGTTTTCACTTTACACAACTACACAAAATTCAATATTTAAAATAGAAAACACTTCTTCCCCAAATACGCCATCATTACTGAAATTTTAACGTCAAACTGATGAGCTGTCAAAATCCAGCAGCGGACCCTAGGGCTGTGACGTAGGTACTTTAGAGACGCTATTGCGCAGTGCGCTATAATCTATGAAATTTTGGAATACAAATAGGTAATCAATTCATATACCTACTGCAACTTTTAAAATGTTTTGTATTATTGTATACTAGTACGGTGAACCTGCATAACGAAGCAGAGTTTGTGCTCATCAGATCTTATAGATTTTTACTGTTCAGATTGGTGATAGATTTCGAATTTAAAATACAAAAAAATATCTTTATTTTAAAAAACGAGTCAAAACAATACATTGATTGGAGTCTCCTTTTAAGCGTGCAAGCCTGTGCTAGGAGACTCCGCTCCGAATATATCTTAATAATAAACTTTATTTGTAGGGTATATTAATCAAACAAAATTAAATTCTAATAAAAAGGCTTAGCAATCGAAAACATTTAACAAATTTAACTTCTTTACTATAGTAAAGTTTAGAAATACTCGTTCGCATTTATTAACAGCTAGGGTTGGCGTAGGTACACTCCAACCCTCAACCTGAGGGGGGCTGAGCCTGCGCCACACGCTACCGTCACTCTAGCGCGCTGGCACCAAGAGGACGGAATGACGCGTCGGCAGCTGCAGCCTGCGATGCAGTCCACGTTGTCGTCGTCGCTGTCGTCGCCAAACATACTGTAGAAGAGCAGCCTGGTCGGCGGTGTATCGTGTTCCGACCCGGCAGGCTGATTCTGACTAAGCGGGGTATCCCGGGTGGCCTGGTAGGGCCACCGTATTGCGGAGACCGGCGTCATTGGTTGTCGACTATCGCCTCAGCGACGCGAGTCTCGTTGTAGTGTCGATTGCGGGAACCCCCTACTCTGATCGAGTTCTGACCCCGGATGGAGATTGGACGTCTGGTGTAAGAGTGCAGGGGAGTCGCTTAGTGCGAGAGCCCTAAAACTTCTAGGGCCCACGATCTGCTCGCACTTCCGGACTTGCTGAAACATCGATGATCGTGATTACTTTTTTTAAGCTGCCTCCAAAAAAATTGTCGCAAGTCTATGCTTTACTTTAATTTTTACATAAAACTTTTTTAAATTTATTATAATTTTTTTTTTATTTGTATGAAAACGTCCTCTAGCGAAGACTTTTCCACTTCTGATAGTTCACAAGTTGTGATGTGCAACAAAATCAATTCATAATTCTTGTTGACTTGTTTCAAAAATCTACAGAAGATATATTATATTAAGCTGTGAAAAGTGTGAAATTTTTTAATCAGAAGTTATCAAAATAAGTAGCATATCAGTTTATTAAACATTTTATTTCCAAAGATTGCTGAAAATATAGAAATTTGCTGGTGGTAGACCGCCTTCGTAGCCGACTTGAATAGTTACCGTCATCCTATTTATTTTGCTATTTTTCATTTTATATGCAGTAATACGTTTCAGCATAAAGGGTGGAGGGAGCCATTCTACTGTAAACTGAAATTTAAAATTAATTTCACAAGATGAGTTGTATTTACGTTGGTGTTGTTTGTGGGCTCCAGTAACCACTTAACACCAGGAAGCCAGTGAGCTCGTGTAGAGCAAAAAACACAAACAGTTTTGGTATCGCAGTTTGGCTGTTTGGGCTAAGGCTCCTAAGCTTAAACTAGTCGAAAAACGTAAAACAATTAATCTGTAGTTAGGCGGTATTTTCAAACTTAATCGGTAATTTAGGTAACACAAAATAACTATAAGTATGTACCGTATTTACATAACATTATTATTATTATTATACATCGAACAGATGTGAATACCTATCTAATTGATATCTAATTAATTAATATAATTAATTAATTTCGCGGAAAAAATGTACTGAAGCGATTAAACATTTATTTTGATGGCCTATGCCTAACACCGGTCACTCACATGCGCACGAATACGCAAACCCGCAAGTGTGGGACGACATTTGCAAATGATTATGCAAAGTTTTCGCTACATTCGTGGTTTTCCAAGCTGTGTCGGTTTTTTAACAGACATCAAAGTGCGCGAACCGCGAACCTTCGCGTAGTCTCCCACACATTCGTTTGCCCAGTTGCGCCGACGATTACGAAGGTAACGGACGTATCGCCATTTTCATAGTTCGTGACGTCTACTGTGTAGCGTATCTTCATCAAAAGAAATCCCATAAAAACAGCATGGCTGTTAATGATGTCTGGGAAAGAATTCAAAACTCTTTTTCTCTTCAATGTTCTATCGACGAATTAAAAAGGAGGAGAAATTCATGAGACATTCGTAAACAAGTGTAGGAGGAAGTGCAAACGGGTTCGCAAATTGAGTATGCGAACCCATTTGCACAGCCGCTAGGTTTGCGAATGAATGTTTGACGGCCCTTCACATGCGCGCAAACATGTCAGTGGCCGGCATAAAGAAGAAGGCCACGTTGCGCTTACTGGTGGTAGGACCTCTTGTGAGTCCGCGCGGGTAGGTACCACCGCCCTGCCTATTTCTGCCATGAAGCAGTAATGCGTTTCGGTTTGAAGGGTGGGGCAGCCGTTATAACTATACTGAGATCTTAGAACTTATATCTCAAGGTGGGTGGCGCATTTACGTCGTAGATGTCCATGGGCTCCAGTAACCACATAACACCAGGTGGGCTGTGAGCTCGTCCACTCATCTAAGCAATAAAAAAAAAAGTAGTTTTGCGTCTAAATATACAGATTTCTTCATATTATGACTTCTTTCAACATCTAATAGTTTTGGCCCAGCACGTCTGTTTGAAAAAAATCTTGTAGACGATTTTTATAGGATGGCTTGGTATTTACGTCTTTGCACTTCATAACACCTATGCATGTGTACCTATTTAGTATAGCCTTAAGATTGTGATTCTGCGCTAATGTTATTAGTGATATTTGCGCAACCCATTTAAAAAGTTAAGTTTTTTTTATTGCCCTTGAAGGCAGACGAGCATACGGGCCACCTGATGGTGAATAGTTACCGTCGGCCATGGACTTCAGCAATGCTATGCTAGGGGCAGAACCAAGCCGCTGCCTACCGCTAAAATGTTTTAAAATTTATATGAGAGCACAACTTAAACGTTTTTTTTTGTCCGAAAACCGGTATTAGTAATTCCTAAAATGACATTATCATGAAAATGTTAATTGATAAACTAAGTAGATTGTTAATATAACCAGTGTAATTTAAATTGCATATTGCACGCAATGTAATAATGCATTTTATTAATCAATTATAATCTATACCAGGGGTTCTCAAACTTATTTTGTCTACTTTCCACTTTGAGAATAAATTCAAATTCAAAATCATTTATTTCAACTTGGATGTCATCATAACACACTTGTTGAATGTCAAAATATAAATGAAAAACTCTACCACCGGTTCCAAAAAAAGCCATAGTTCTGAGAAGAACCGGCGAAACAAACTCAGCGGGCTTTTTTTTCTCGTTTTTTTTTTTTTTTGAATAAGTAAAAACAAGTTATTTTTTAGCGCCCCCATTTTCTCACCTACTTAAAAACCACTATAGCGAGAGCTCAATTGGTGTCTAAGAGTCCTCCTAGATAAAATTACAAATCGCCTCCCAAACCTCTACACAACGCCCCCTTTTTTTCTGGGTTTCTTACGGCGCGCATTGGGCCTGCAGCGCCCACTAGGGGGCGTTATCGCCCACTTTGAGAGAGTCTGCTCTAGACCATCAGCTTAGGTAGGAACAAAAAAGTTTCTATATGGGTGCTTGTAACGTCAGCCCAATTAAAAGCTCGACATCCTTGTCCAGGAATCAGGAGAACGCAGTGGAGAGCAGCGACGACATAATACCGCCTGCGTCGTGGCGTCCAGGCAACCAGCTGTTGGCTTATCTGCACGATCACAAGTAAGCTCTACTAACTTCCTGCGGGTCAGAGGTAATCAAATACTTCACGGTGCAATGGTACAGTGCCCGGCGATAAACACAGCAGATCGAGCTTTAGAAAGAGACAATCGGCTAATTTCGTTTTCGTAGAGCGCTATCTCTGTCGCACACTGCCTATGTAATGTTTGTCAGTCGGTTTAAGTGCAATAATGTGCAATCATAATGTTAGCATTTCGTGCGACAGAAATAACACTACAAAGTGAAAATTAGTCGATATGCATTATACATTGCCGGGTAATGTATTTATGTGTCATGGTCGAGAACTTGAATGACGTTATTGAGAGCTTTAAGTTTTTGAGCGATGGAAAGCCTGGTATGAGACAATGACATCAAAGTATATGTCAACCTCACTTTAAAAATTTTGACAGCACGCAATGTACACCAAACTTATTTTAAGAGTTGTGGCAGCACGTAATGTACACCAAACTCGTTTTAAGAATTGTTGCAGCACGCAATGTACCCCAAGCTTGAGGTCTAGGGGTAATTTAATGCTTTGCTTTTTTTGTTCAGTTTTAGTCATAATTAAAATTTCGTTTATCGTCAAAATAACAAAAGTCATATCGTCTTTTCGCATTAAAAGTGTACAATTTCCAAAAATATTCGAAATTGAGTTAATATGCGGAATCATTTGGTTACACCAGTCTCATAAATACTTCTGTCAAAAGAGCGTAGTTTAGTTTTAGTTTTTTCTTTTTAGTTTACCTATGTTTTGACTACTATTAACAAAATTAATACATCATTTGATCTTACTTTAAAAGACATAATGTAACTGGTTAAAAATTAAAAATAAACGTTTGAAAGATGATTAATATTAAAAAGATCACATGTTAAACCTTTAAAACACTTTCCTGTAAAATTAGTAAGTTTTGAGATTATACAGTTTTAATGCGAGAAGACGATATCTGAGAGATTCCTCAGGGCTCAGGTCAACGACCTGGTGACGCTACCTGCTCACCGGAACATGTTCGGCTCATGCTCCAACGATGGCACCGTCCGGCTGTGGGACGTGGCCAAGGTGCAGGGGCACGCGCACATCAACAGGTCAACCAACAACTTTACATAACTTTTGAAGTCGCCGTGGCCTAAAAGATAAGA